GCTCCTGTGAGTCCCTCTCACTGTCCTTGTACAGTCCTGCTCCTGTGTCCCTCTCACTGTCCTTGTGTGGTCCCTCCTGGCCAGGGCTCAGAAACTCGTTATGAGGGGTGGGAGTGTCCTTGTGATGGCAGAACTAACAGCTCAGGACTCATTAACAAGCTGCCTGCATGAAGATGGCCGGGTGTCTCTGATTTATTCTCTTCCCACCCCCCTCTGCCCCAGGTCCAGTCTACACTGGCTCTGTCCGCTACAGCTCAGTCCAGTCCAGTCCGGTCCACTACAGCTCAGTCCAGTCCAGTCCGGCCCACTACAGCTCAGTCCAGTTCCTTGGTGTGGTGCTGACCTGTTGTCCACCCCTTTACCATGTCACGACTCTTCCCACAATGCTGCGATGTCAACACTCCTCCGTACACTCTGAATCTGTATTATTCAGAGTTTTTATTATGCAGCTGGGTTATTATTCCCAGCACACACTTTTCCAGCCTCCTGCGGTTCCTGGGTCATTCTTCCAGGAGCCCATGCTTTCACACCCATCCATAAGCACAGGGAGTGTGTGCTGGTCAAAATGAACATTACTTGTGAGCCACAAATGTAGTCCTCCTTCAAGCTACCAATCACCCGACCTATCCACCAATCAACTAATCAGTCAACCCAATCGGTGAATCAATGAAGCAGCTCTGGCAGATTATCCCATAGAAAGACTGTAATGAGGGCCACGGCCACTAGAGGTCGCCAGAAGGCCTATATATCCACATAACTTGTGTAATATAGTGACTGTTGAACACTCACCTGTTTCATGAATTGGCTAATAATAATAATAATAATAAGAAAATATTATTATTGGTTTAGAATGTGGTTAATTAGTGTTTTGTTTGATATAAAAGGGTGTTACTGATAGTGATGGTCAGCTTAGGGTTTCCTGGAGTACTACAATCAGATATTGAGAATTTGTGTTCCAGCAAAAGTTGGGTTCCAGTTGTTTAGAAGGAGCGATTACAAAGAAATTAACATCTTGTACATTCTTTTTTTTTGTATTGTGTTTAAAACGTTAAAAATTAAGCTACCAAACGCAGGGATCTGTTATACAGTCTATCAATCAGTCCACCTATCCTATAATTAATGAGGTGTGTTAAATGAGAACAACCTCTTCATCTGCAACGCCAACCTGCCCAAGAATCTCTTCTGCAAAACAACTCAAAGCAGCAAAGTGAAAACACTGCGAGGAACAGCGATACGCCTATATCTGAACCAGAAAGGGGGTGGCAACCAGCACAACTGCCTCGCCAGCTCCTCGACTGAGCGCACCCCCAGAAACCCCATTTCACTCCTCCTGCAGCTGAGCCAGGAGGGATCTGCTGCAGCTGAAACACTTGATGAGGTTCCTAAGGAGACGAAGAAGTGACATTTCGAGGAAATTCCCTTTCGGATTCTTTCAATCCAGCAGCCTCGGCTGAAGAGAAGGCCAGTTTCACAAGTGTTGATTCTGAACTCAAGAGAACCACAGTAATCGCACAGAGACCCAGCCACGTCATGACTTTTCCACTTTTCTTTCACATGAATTATCTCTCTACTTCATCTTTGCTTCCAACGTGTGGTGTAGGTCATGTACACAACTTATTAGTCTCTACTCCAAGCCGGCATGACTGAGAGTTTAAAGAGCGAAACTGTGAAAACAGAGCAAGAAAACCCACTATTTCTGCCAGGAACTGTAAACAGGGAGCTGTAAGGAAACACTGGGGGCAGAGACACCTGAAGAGACATATCTGGTACTGTGGAAGAGACAAGTCTGGATCCGAATTAGTTTTAGAAGCTCTACAAGGGAAAGTTATCTGAACAAACTGCTGTGCTGTTGCTCTGGATCAGGAGTGTCAGTACACTTCCTGCTGAGGCCTGGGGGACTTCAGTAACTTTTTATGAACGCACCTGTCTGATCATGAGGTGCTGCACCCTGAGGTATGGTCTTGACGGAGAGGTACTGTACTCGCACACAGGTGGCCGAGGCTCTGCGAGCGACCGGCAGATATCTACACACGCAAGTGCCAAGATGAATCCAGAGGGGCGGACGTGTGCCCAGGACACGACCGATGGCGGAGTTATTCCTGGAAGCTGCCGCGGGTCCTTCACTGATTTACAGCTCAGGACAGCTCCTGTCCGGCCACGCCTGGCTCAAACTTACCTCGGCGGCTTCTGGATGTCAACCTCCTCCCGTGGAAGAAGGTTATAAATGCTTTCCGCAGGATATACATCAGACATGCTTTAAAAAAATAATAAATCGGCAAAGCCCTACACACACGCAAAGCAAACGCGCGACGCCGCTCAGCATCCAGGAATCAGCAGCGTGTCCCGCTCGCGCAGCTGCAGCCCGTTTGTTTTAGCGACCGCTCTCCCCGGTAACCGTTTCCTGGTAACGGCGATGGCAGCACGACAGACGTGTGACGTATGACGCCGTTCTGCAAAAACAAAAAAGGGCACGTTTGACCATTCAGTTCAGAAACACGCAAACACGCCAGCGCTTGAAGTCGTCTTGCCTCTGCTTCCTCTACAAAGACTGCATAACGTTTTGAGTTTTGAATGGAGTGGGAATGAGAAAGTATGGTCTCTATAATCGAGTATAAAGAAATGAAGCACGGAGAAAATATTGTATATGAACTTCGTCCCAGGTACATTGAGGACACATAAGACCTCACTGTGGTCATTTGCTTTTTTTTTTTAGGGTTTCAGAAACCAGGGTGAACCGGGCCGGTATCTTGCCAGGACACCAGAGCTAAGACTCAGCTTGGGAATGCAAAGTGGGGGAAGATATGATACTGGCTAGAATTATACTGGGCAATATTAAAACATAATGGGAAATAAACAGGAGTACAGTCATGCTTCAACTTCCTCCCACAAAAGACCTGATGTGTTATTTTGATACTACACTTTTCATCCTTAAGTGCTTCAGTTACAGTGGAGGAGGACCCACCGAAGTGCAGCCCCACCTGGGAGATACACAGGGGCCCTTCTGCACCAGCAGCCCCTCCTGGGAGACACACAGGGACCATTCTGCACCAGCAGCCCCTCCTGGGAGACACACAGGGACCATTCTGCACCAGCAGCCCCTCCTGGGAGACACACAGCAGCCTCACTGCACAGCAGCCATGGTGAAGAGAGAAACTGCTTCTCCAGCTGAATTAAGCGGGACCTTAACCTTTAGGGAGACTGGTTTGTTCAAGCCCAGGGTCGAATTTACCCAGAACACTGGAGTCAGCATCCCTAAAGGTATGAACAGAACCCATAGTAATGAGATCAGGCTGTGGGGTGGGAAACCTGCTCTTAATTTAAAACAGTCTACTGTTTGATCAGATTTACAGCTACTGCTGTGCTCTAAGGTAAAGAAAACATTACTTTCAACATCATCCTGGGCTTAAGGAGGAACTGTCAAAGCATAAAGCTCAAATTGTAAACTTGTGCATTCTTCCTCCTACAGAACCTGCCTTTGAGGGATAAAAACCACACTGAAGACAAAACTGTTCACAATATAAAAAAGGATTTATTGAAATCAACACGGAGACTCCACAGAAAAATGTAAATAATAATAATAATAATTATAATAAAGTACATTTTATTAGCCCCAAGTTTTTTTTAAAGACATTCACCAATTTGTCTTGACATACATTTCCAAAATACAAATTCTTTCTACACGATATAATCTGCTGCTGCTGTTTTTAGATATTTCAATCGTACAGATATAATCAAAAATATAATTCTATTTAGTTTCAGTTTTGTTTTTTCTTAATGTATCCACTTAAAAGTGATATAAAGAGTAGAAAAGTGAGTAAAAGGCTGATCAAAACAACCGAACGTGACAAAATAAGGCCCAGTGTTGCTTGAAGGCACAGCCTCTCTCGCCAGACTGTAAGTGTGCAGATACTGGGATCTACTGTACTCAACAGCTCACGCACTGCGCTTGTTACCACGTCCAAAACGTCAAGAGTCCACTTGTCTCCTAAAGCTGCAGCAATTCAATGATGTAACGACGCAGCGCTGGATAACTTCATACTCCTGAAGGTCATACCCGCTCAGTGGTAAGTGCAAGGTGTCAGGGCGACTCGGAAAGGAGCCAGGATGTACCAGACGTCAGACACTCTCCTCGTTTCCACCGAAGAGGAAAAAGCCGCTGAAATCTTCATCTGAGGTCGAGTTCAATTAAACCAACTGCGTGTGCATCGTTTTTTTTTCCTTCCTGCATTTAGAATCCTCTTTGCAGCTTCAACATATTAAGGCTGAGGTAGCAAAAGGAGAAATCCTGTGGAGATATTGTCTCCCGCTATCCGATTAAATCCAGGAGGATTGACTCTAATACTGTACATAGTTACCGGCATTTTGTGTGTCTTTTTAAACAGTTTTAAATTAATAAAGTTTATTAAACAATTTGAAACATTTTCTTTTTTCAACAGATACACATTCTTTCACTGAATGTCTTATTTACACAGAGATACGATCTCTCAGTGATGAGAAGAAATGAAGAGACCAGCTGAACCACAAGAGCAAAACAATCTGAATTCTCCAGGGAAAGAAAGATTTTGGAATTAGGAACTAGGGAGACATAAAAGTGTTATATTAACAATACTGTTGTATCTCGTGAGACAGTAGAAATAATCCATCATTACTGAACTCTACGGTTCGTGGTTTAAAGTGCTCCTCCGTGCCAGTATCGGAAGTCCACATGTTCTGGAGTTCAGTTTTATATTAGATGTCAACAACTAAACAGATTTGTGTGAGGTTGTAAGTATACATATTAAGCAATGAACATACTCTGCATCTGATGCGGAAATATATTACTATACATCTATGTAAACATACACATCTGTGAAACATTAAAACCTCACGTCTACAGTGTGTAACCATCCAACCCCAAAAAGGTACAGAAAAAACTAGGTTAACTGCAATGAGCACCATGGAAATTCATTCTTAATTCTAGGTGGCTGTAACAGTTTTGCCTGAGTATTTTCAAGCAGGTAGTCACTTTGTTTCCCCCACACAGACCACCCTACACATAGAGCACCATACACACAGAGCACCCTATACACACACAGTACCCCACACACACACAGTACCCCACACACAGAGCACCCTGCACGCACAGAACCCTATATACACAATACCCCGCACACAGAGTACCATATAAACAGAGCACCCTCCGTACACAGCACCGCATAAACAGAGCACCCTACATACACAATACCCCATACACAGAGCACCCTCCACGCACAGCACCCCACATGCACCATATAAACAGAGCACTCTGCGTGCATAGCACTCTACACCCGGAGCACCATGCACCAAGAACACCATATAAACAGTGTACCCTACATATTGTACACAATACCCCATAAACAGAGCACAATGCACGCACAGAACCCTACTGTATATACACAGTACCCCACACGCACAGCACCCTACACCCAGAGCACCATATAAACAGAGCCCTCTGCGTGCACAGAACCCTACACCCGGAGCACCCTACACCAAGAGCACTGTATAAACGGAGCACCCTACATACACAATACCCCATAAACAGAGCACCCTGCACGCACAAAACCCTACATACACAATAGCCCTCACACAGAGCACTCTACACACAGAGCACCTTACACACAGAGCACCCTGCACGCACAGAACCCAACATACTGTACACAGTACCCCACACACAGAGCACCCTGCACGCACAGAACCCCACATACTGTACACAGTGCCCCACACACAGAGCACCCTGTACGCACAGAACCCCACATACTGTACACAGTACCCCACACACAGAGCACCCTACATACACAGTACCCCACACACACAGCACCCCGCACGCACACAGCGGCACCAGTCCAGCGTGGCTCCGCAGCTCACAGCTCGGGCTCCAGCTCGTCCGCCACGCTCGCCTCCGACTCGGAGTCCTCGGAGCTGTCGAAGAAGCGGGCGCGAGGGGGCTCCGCAGGCGGGAGGGGCGAGCCGGGGAGGCCCCAGTACCAGGCCTCCAGCTCCGCGGAGGACAAGTGGGGGTTCCCCCGCAGGCCCAGACCGGGGCGCTGCGTCTCCATCGCCGGGGGCAGGCTCATGCACTTGCGGAGAGGCGTCCGGCTGCAAGCAGGAGGACAGTCTAGTCACAACCATGGAACACCCCGCAGGACAGAGCGCGAGCACCGGGACAGAGCACAGACATGGGGCCCTACTGCGGGCCCTGCCTCTCGAGTTGGAAGGCAGAAACCAAGCTGAAGACCAGAGAGCCAGCTGCGGTGGAAAAGCAAGCAATTGCGAAGACGAGAGCGCAGGAAATTCCAGTTAGAAGCACTGCAGAGGGGTTGGGCATCGCAAAACCCACAATTCGGAATGTCTTGAAAGAGGAAGAGAGTAGCGGAGGAGGAAGAAACCAGCAGAGACCAGGCTGTTGAAGCAAGGTGACACTGTATAAAGTACGAGGATATTAGACACCCCCATCACATCACATTTTAGAAGCGCGCCTCCTATCCCAGTGTCACGAGCGCCTGGCCCACGCGCCGGCGTGTCGCAGTGCAGACAGCGGTGCCCAGCTGGGGCAGCGGGGGCTCACCTGGGCGCGTCAGGTGCCGCCCTCCCCCAGGCCCGTCTGTACACCGAGCCGGCCAGGTGGCACATCCAGCGCACGTCGTCCGACAGCTCCGGCAGCCACTCCACCAGCCTGCCGCAGAGCGAGAGCACGGCGTGAGGACGGAGCCAGCCCCAGCTGGGGCTCCCGTCCGAGCGAGCGGCGCAGACCGCGCCCCGAAGGGCGAGCCGCCCGCCTCCTCGCACAGAGCTCAGCACAACACCCCTCGGCCACAACAACAGCCATCAGGCCTCGTGTGCTGTACAAACCGAGCCCCGGAGGCCACGAGCCCAGTCTATAAGACATGCCTTTGGAATGCAAGCAATTATACATCGCAGGGAAGACATTTTTTTAGATTAAATTGTTGCACTGGAGACTAGTACGATACTTCCCCTGGGTGTTTGTGGAGCCAAGTGCTTGACAGCCTGAGAGAATGGCAGTTTAAACTCCAAACGCCAACGGTACAGCAAAGCCCACCAGGTGGAGCTGCTCTGCCGCTAGAAACAAAGTTCATCCTAACGGGCTGGGTCCCTGGTTTCATACATGGAGAACGTCCAGGCAACCCCATGACAGTTCATGACCCGCCCCACTGCATTCCTGAGGGTACGGGTCACAGACCGCAGCTCAACAGCTGTGTGAGCTAAGATCTAGACGTCCGGTAACTCTCTCAAAAAAACCAAAAGAGTCACCTTTAGAGAAGTACGATACTTCTCACGGTTCTATAGGTCATCACGAGTGCTCACAGGCGATACTGCAGCATCCCAGAATGCGCCCTGGGATGCCACTCCAGTGAGGAGGAGCTGTAAAAATTCCACAGTTCACTGGGGTGCAGGGTCTACACAAGGCGCTGCTGAGCTCCCACACCGGAGCGCACGTGCTCCCTATACCAGACACCCCCTGGCCACAGCACAGCAAGGCCGAAGGCTGTACCTCAGTGCCACCGAGTA